GAACCCTGATCTTCAGGGGACAAGGCTTTTTCAACCCCCTATAAGCTCAATGGAACAGTACATCATGTTAGAATGGCTGATCCTGATAATATCAAGAAATCTCATTTAATTAAAGACTTTTGGCTCAAGTTAGCCGTTTCCTATTTTGTATTCATCCTAAATTCTTGTCTAGTAACCTTTTTCTATTCTTACTCTTTTAGTAGTAGTTTTTATAGTTTTGTCCTTTCTGTAATTTGAAAATGTTTAACGTTCATGTTCACATATACAATTCTGTATCATGTATCCCTTTCATATTTGAGGTATGACGAGAAACGTGATCTTTTACGGCACAATTGATTCCCATTTCCTGTTGCTGTCTTAATGCTACCAAGATAAGTCGTACGTTAAATTGTGGGTAATAGGCAATACAACTTTTATTTTTGTTCACTGTGAATTCAGTTATAAAAAGAACATTCTATTTACTGTATATTTACAGTTCAAATGTTGTTCATATTTTAAAATGCTCCATGTTGCACATAACATAATATATTGCATTACCGCTTATTGCTGAAGTGTTAAAGCCCATTCACTCCCATTTCATCCTGAACTCAATACAGTGACTCGATGAGTTTTCCTCACACACATATTGTTCTTCAGGAAATCATTCTTGTCATGATTTCACTACTTTCTAACTGTATATTTTCAATAGTTCAAAACTTTACGACGCAAACGTTCAGCAGATCTTTTACTCTGTTCTGTAAAATGTGCTTTTGTTACTATTACTAGAATATATATATATATATACAAAGAGCCTATATATTAGTTTGAGTGTGATCTTGTGATTGGTCGTGAAGCGGTGTGTACTCTATATGTGTAGAGGTGTGAGGCGTGAGGACGCTGGTGTGTCTCTACTGTCCTCTACTGGCACAACTCAGCCCCGGTACTTTGAAATAAAGCAGGACAGCAGGAGCAGCTGATGTAAACACTAGAAGCCCTTTATTAGTTCTCCAACCTGACAGGAAGCTCAAGAGTATGACAACCAACCGCTTACAAAACAGTTATTTACAGTCGTTTTAAACCCAACAAGTTTCAAACTGACAGAAAGTGTTAAAGGCATGCACAGGTTCAGATTCTCTAGGAAGATAACAACAAAAGAAATTAACTATTTGCATACAAGTGTAGGCGTGTATTACACTGTGCCTTTAGGTTTGCATAATAAGCATTCAAAAGGTTTTCTTTTTATACACAGACCACAATAAATTAAATATAATTGCAGTCTTACCCAGTCAGATGACAAGACGAATCTATCGATCTCTACGTTTTATCTCTGTGCGTCATGTACAAGCCAGTGGCCAGAAAACATGTTCCGCAAACCCAAGGATACGTTGCATGTGGACGCACATTGCCACATGCTTAATGCTGGGACACGATTAGTTAGCTTTAGGCAGCAAAGCAACTTGGTTAAGGTTAGAAAAAAGATCATGGTTTGTGTTCAAATAATAACGTAACAACCATAACTACCGTAACATCGTTATGTAACAAGCGTAAAGTTTACTTTTGGTTCCACGCGGGACAAGAAGAGCGGTCTGCAGGGTGAAAGTCCTGTTTGACCCATCCACCAGCTCTCCTACCCGTCCTTAGTGCTGGTTGTATTCGTTATCATACCATGTCATTCTCAATCTGAATTCTCAATAACTACGTCACTTGCTCTGCTCACCAAATGCAAAAAACGTAGACAATCAGCGTGCCCGTGGTTTGCAGAAGCATACAATGCCAACATGTACTCCTGGCCACTGGGCTGGTACACAGATAGATCCAGTGATGTGTTCACTGTAGCCTGGAAGCTCCAATGTCATCACAACTGCCAACCCCTTTTTGGCACAAACGTAGAGAAGAAGACACTGGAGACAGACTGTGGAAGCCATACATTTCAGGAGCATTTGGTGTGTTTGTGCCAGCTCTATTATGATTGTATTAATTGGTGGTGAGAAATTCTTATTATACTTGAAGTGTATGATTAATGATGAAATGTTCACATGGTACTGATTTAAGTTCACTGACAGCTCCTCACAGTTTGGTGGTGTTGGAACGGGTATTCTTTCACTTTGGATGGACCTAAACCAGAAGTGATTGGAGTAGATTGTAAGCCTTGCTAAAGATGCTCTGAACGTACCTGTCCTGATAATAATCTTCTCATTTGATGGATTTAGCCTTGCAGACTGTATGTAGGTGTCTGTGATAATGAACTAACTCTGCAGTGTAAATAAACTTGACAAAAAAAACACAAAGTTCTTTCTGTTTGACATCACCTCCAAGGACTCACTACAAATGTGAAAGGTTCTGCATAAGCACAATAAACAACAGCTATGTTCAATGACGATACATATGTCTAATATGCCTGTGTATATATATCTTCTATATTGTACTTCATCTACATAAAAACTCTACACGGACAGATTTGACCTTTACAGAATGTATCACAGTTTAGTCTGTATAGGACTGTCTTTGGGTAAATTCTGCATATTGATATTCACAACCTTGATTTCTTAATAAAAATCTATACAACAGTGTTGAATGAAAGCTCACAGACTCTATCTCACACACCAATAATCCAACATCAGTTGTTCTACTGCATTTTAAAGGAGATTTTTTATTTATTTATTCAATATTCAGATGACTGGTACATAAAACATGATAAAGATAGACCCAGACAGCCTGAGTCTGCAACCTCTTATATTCAGATTTGCATTATTTTACACTGATCTGTGACATTACACTGTAGAGGAGCTACAGTGAAGAAATTCAATCACACTCATTGTCTGCAAGCAGTCCAAGTCCAGACATTCTGAAAACATCCACTCCAAATACGAACACAGCTAAAGGTGCTCTCTGTTGCACTGCTGGGTCTACCAGGTGACACCGCGAAGAAACTGATAAACTATAAGGTTCAAACCCGCTTTGGGGACGGGTTGGGGAAAGGCTGGAGGGCTTGTGGACAAAATGTTCAAGTAGAAGCAGACCAAACAGGTATATAATATTGACAATTATCTTTTTTTTTTTTTAATTTGACTAGATTTCTCTCCTGATGGACGAACCACCTCAGCTGTAGCCCACCAGCCAATGTCTTAATACCAATAACTAATAACAGGGGTGACTAGAGAACGACCAATACTGGATGTTTAGTGCTGAACGGTGTCGATATGAGATATATCAGCTGATACTCTTTTTTTATACAAGTGCTTTCATCCATCTATAGCCATGTTTCCATTCAATTCTCCGGCAAATTTTAAGCAGACTTTTTGAAATGTTGCACAAAAAAAAAAGAAATGCAAGAAAGGGTCTATCAAGTGGTTTGGAGCCAATAAACTAGGCCACAGCGTAGTTTGGTCAGACTTTACCGCTGTAGGTTATGCAAGGCTGTAATCCTCCAGTTACAGAACAGAAGATGTAAAGGTTGGGAACCAGCAACAGAACAAGACGCCGTGGTCATCTATGAGAGAACAATGGAAAGAGCTCTTCAGGAATTTGTTTCAATTAAGTTATTCATTAATTATGGGAAGATCCAAGAAGACACTGACAGCAGAAACGACTGGTCATTTTTTTGCTTTCCACGTAGCTTCTCTAATGCAATGCTTCAAATTGTGCATTCAATTTGCGAATGGAAACATGGCTAATGTTATCAAACCAATAATTCTCCCTCACATTTCTTCTCAGATGGCTTGGTGTCTCACTAGTTTGTGTTGTTGAAGAGAACAACAGCAGCTGATGGCGTTGCTGAGAGCAACAAGGCATCAATAAATCAGTCACAGTGAATTCTACAAACTCGCCCTGCTGGAGTAAAAGAGATGGGATTGTGGGATCGCACAAGTGTGTTACTTCACTACATGCTAATTCAATATCGATCAATTAAAAAACGAATTAAGATAAATAAATAAAGATTTAAAAAATATGAACAAGCCAAATAAAAATTCAGAGCAGAGGGATTGCCTCCACAAGGCTCTCAACATGGCGACAGCTGAACCGGTGGCTAGCAGCTAACAGAGCTAACAGTGCAAACAACAGCAACATTTTCAGACGAGCTAACAGTGTTTACCTGATGAGGAACCAGAGAGGTTGGGTGCCACGCTTTGGCGACAATGGTGTTATCAGCTGTAACCGCCGTATGAGAGCAGTGCAGAGCTAACCAGTGGGGAACGCTCACGTGCACTAACATGCACTAAAAGCACATGTGACCGGTCCAGCTATGTGAACAAATCAAGGAGAAGCTCTGATAACAGCACACACAGAGGGAGAGAGACTTCATTCTCTGCTCAGGTAGGTATTACTACACTATATATTTACATAGACAATAGTTATTTACTGTTAAATGCTCTGAATATCATATAGAGAATCTTTAAATTTGGTCATTAAAGACTGATTAAGGTATGTGCAGTATAAAGGAACTAAAGCTAGCAGTGCTCACTAGAGAGCACTGCTAGCTTTTAAATGACCTGGATATGTCTTTGGTCTGCCTGTGCTGCAGTTTATACAGCAATAGAGAACTATCTGGGATAAGCTGAAACCAGCCAATAATATCAACCATTCCATGTATTGGTAGGGCTCTCGGGGGGAATGTCGAGATGCACGTAGTACTAGTTTGGTTTGGACTAAAAAGATATCAGGTTGGACTTTTATTTTTCCAAGGTTTTGCATGCCATCTTTGTCCAAAGATATCGTAAGTATTGCTGTGGGAACACAGTGCAGTTTGTCTTTTGTCATCAGTTGGGTATGCCCCGCCCATTTACTTCTGCACTCACACATGTTGAATACTGAATCGTAGAGGAAAATGTCACGCTGCGTCCCGTGAGGCTGTCGTCATGCGCAGGACTCTGCCAGCTTGGCTTCCGGAGCGTTTCTTGCCACGGCCCGGAGAGCTGGGGTTGGACGCTGACGTTCGGACGCTCCTCGCCCCATGACTCACCATGGTGGGGAGGAGGGAGGAAGACGGGGAAGGAGGGGAGGAGGAAGAGGAGGTGGGGGACAGAGAGGAGGAGGAGGGTGAGGATGAAGAGTAGGAGGATGAGGAGTAGTAGCTGTGTTGTGGGGTGGAGGTGGAGGTGGAGGTGAGGACGAGGCGGTGCTGGCGTTTGCTGCTGCTGCGAGGCCCGTGTTGGGCCGGGCTGGCGTTAGCGTGGGATGACGACATGACGTGGCTAGACGAGGGGAGGAGACGGCTCAGATTCAGAGACGGGATAAAAGACTTGTGTGGAGGAGAGGAGAAAGAAAATGAAGGAGAAGGGGAGCGAGGTGGGGAGACTGACGGAGAAACGGAGGAAGAGTTCTTCACCAAGGAGGAAGAGGAGAGAGGACACAATAGAGCCTGTTGCCTGGAACGCTGGGCCAAGGAAGGAGAAGACGGGCTGGAAGAACACTTTGAAGGGGGAGACAGAAGAGAGTGCTTCCCCGGGGAGAAGCTGGAAGAAGCTGAAGGCGAAGAAGCAGAGGAGGAGGAGGTGGAGGAGGAGGAGAGGTTTTGGAAGCTATCGGTGGTGTCTGAGCAGTGAGGAGTGGACAAAGAGGCAGACGGGTGTTTCCCAGAGCTATGGCACATGGCTGGGATCTTAGAGGCACGCAAAGCAACGACAGAATGGCTACTATCCCCGGCTGCTCTACTGCTTCTGCTGTCAGCCTGTAAACAGACACCACGGAACACGGCAGGTCAAAGCCAACAACACACAGCCCACATGAGAGGAGAAGAACACTCATACCGGTTACTGCTATGGCTTTGGCCAGCCAATACCTCGCTAGGCTAGAACTGCTACAGTGTGTTTTAGTGAAAACGTCCTTACAAAATAGATGGCTGACCGTTGGCGCTCTCATTCTCTCCCCTGACAGTCATGCTGTGTCTCGATTCAGATACTTCTGTTAGTACACTTCCATGTCGTACACTGTGTACTCAGTGGCAAAGGTAGTGTAGCCTCACATCAACACGGCTGTGCGCCCACTGGAAATGACGATTGCAATGAGTTATTTTTAATACGGGTCAACATTTGTCGCCAGCTAAAAGGTCTGCCTCCTCACTGTAAAGTGAAACCCTTGTTTCGTGGCCCTAATCCACCCCTGAACCAGAGCACAGACTCTGGTACTGCTCCCTCTACTGATGTCCAGTGTGACCACCACTTCAGTTGACAGCTCTGTCTGAAGTCATGCAAGAGAGGCAGGGCTTAGTGCATTAGTGATTTACTGGTGACCTTTGATTAAATCAATAGATTTTTGGAAATGCTGACTGAAGGCTTTTCCCACATGGACTGGAATAAAGTGGATCAATGGAAGTGACCAGAAGAATAAAGACCCTCCTCTTGGGCCCTAGAGTGGCTCATTTAAAAGGGTCGGGTCATTTAACACCTGAATCTGCCTTGATCAAGAAATAAAAGTAAAAGCATTTCCTCCTTTTATCCTGTCGAGAACCCCTGAGGCTGTTAGATCCCAGGTGAAGCCCGTTCTCACTTATCTGCAAATGGAGCTTCCTGATGAGCTGCCCCCGTCTTTCAACTCTGACAGGGTCTCTATGTTTATGGTCGTTGGCAGTATTTGGACATATTTTCTGATTTTGGCTTTATTGCACTTTAGTGTTCCATCACATATAACACATGGGACGCCTCTCTTTTTCTGACTAAACGTCATTCTCAATAAATGTTCATTTTTTGAGTTAATGTTCTTACTCTACTGGCCAAAGACATAGTAGTAACACACATGACTGAAAAAGTGCAGCGCTATTTCTCCGACATGAATCAGCATCAGTGCAGACAAAGTCAAGTTAATGTAAGAATAACCTGTCTGTGACAGTGAATATTAAAAGATATTAAATACTTTTGTCTCCATACAGAAAAAGTTTGAATTGTTTTGTAATCACAAAACATGTCGTTAAAAAGATTTGACACACATGCAGTACTTAATGAAGACGCACTCTTCCATGACATACATGTGAGGGTTAATCAATGATGGATGTTTCAACTGGATCCCTAATATTTGTACATCATGGCTTCTATGCGTCCTTGTTTGAGGAAAAAGAGGTTTTTTGAGAGTTTTTGACACCCAAATAATATTTCCACAGCTCACTGCCAGATGAAGAACAGCTGTCGAACATGCAGGTTTACATGCAGGTCAAGATCCACTCTCTGATCGTTCAAAACATTAACAGCTAGTTTGGGATACGGGGACATTAATGGGTACTATAACAAAATCAGGGGAGCGTATGTTGAAAGACGTGTTAAGAGTTGAAGAGGAACGTGAACACAGCCATAAACAGACAGATATAACTTGAGGAAATAAGACAGATATGCACCACCACAGAAACAACCTCAACACATGTCAAACTCACTGCAAACACAATCACTAAAATACAATTCACTCTTTTTCCAAGCTATTGACTAACTGCTCTCTAATTGATGGTACCCAGTTCACCCTCATCTAAGCAATTTATTTATAGCTTGTTCAATTCAAATGTCTAGTTTGGGTGTAATTTCAGAAAACTGATTCTCTAGTTTAGGTAAATAAGATGAGAATTTACTCCACATGTCCTAACCCCAACTAAAGCTTCTGCTTGCTACTTGCATGTCTCAGGGATAAAGTTAAGTCAATATGACTATCTTTAAATGTACAGCAAGAGTCAACGCAGATTTCAATATCTGTATAACTTCATGGTAAGCAGAATCCAGCTGGAGTTTCAGAGGATAGAGTTATTTTAAAGTGGAAACATTAATGATTTTCTGAGGCAGGTATTTGTTAGTTTGAGTTGTAAATTACATAATGATGACCAATGATGGGGGGGCTTCAAGTTTAGTTTGAATGTACTGATACTTGACAACAAAAAGGTAAAAGGTTGTTTAACCTGCTATATGAACAGCATGAATCAAGATGCCATTTGGTGGAGTATTACCGTAATTCCCCTTCTGTCTACGCTGACTCAGAGCTGCTGTGCTCAGGTCTCTCAGAGGTCATTTACCTGGCTGGGCTGCTTCTGGGGGGACTGCTGCTGCTGGCCCTTGGGCATCTTCTCTGGTGAGCTAGAGGAAGAAGATTGTCGGGATTTGGTGTGGGATCGCTGGGCAGAAGAGCTGGAGCTGCTGCTGGAGGTCTAGCAAGAAGATACATGGACAAAAGGGTTAGTTGGGCCAGACTGGCATGTAGGAGACACTGCGTTTGTACGATAGCAGCTACAACACTAAAAAAAATAGTCAAAAGCATCAGATTAAAGCAGCAAATTAGTGTCAATTAGGACATCGTTGTATTGCAAGTTATTCAACCACACAAATGTACATTTGAGTAGTCTTTACTGTACGTAAAGGGGTATATCAGTCAGCAATGCTGGTTGAAATGGGAAAACAGTAAGGCATCTTCGAGATATAGACAATGTTAGATGATATTAAGCAGCATGATCAAAGACGTGATTGGATGCAAGCAGACGGGAAATTTGTGTTTGGCAAATGGAGCAATAAATGATCAGCTGAAAAGCGAAAGATTCCGCTTTATCACGAGGCAGCAATTCATGGAAGTGAAGGACGTGCACGATAATGAGAAACAGAACTAAAGTTCCTGGTAAGTAGAGGCGGTTCCATTGTGGCAAATACAAACAGTCCATCTGTCAAAATGTGTGTCTGAGCACACATTTACTGTAGTTATTCATAGCCATTGTCCTAGTTAGTGGTCCTGAGAAAGTGAAATCTGGTTTACTGCCTTTGTTATTGAACCGTAACTGGTCTGTTTTGAATGAGCAGATGATAACTAATAAAATGGAAACCGTTCTTTGTAGGAAATACATTAACTCTCAGGCTACACCAACAAACCAGTACAAGTCAGTTTGTCCGTTCTGGTACGAATTACCACGTACTTTGCTTGGAAGAAACAAAATGACCTCTGGCTATAACAGAACGATTAAAGAACACATAATGCGTAGAGTCAGAGAGTCAGAGTAGCGAGCCCATCACCAGCCCAGCATCACTGAAGCAAGCGAGCTCTGCAGCCAGAGGAACATCAGACCTGTTTCTTGGTGGAGGTTTTCCCTGAGTCGTGAAGAGGTTGTGGCTTGGGCCTCTTACTCTGAGTTGGATTTGGGCCCTTTAGGATCTGAGACACTGGCCTCTTGGACGGGCTTCTCGCTCTCTCTCGTTTGACTTTGCCTTGAAGCTGAGCTCTGTCACTGGAGTCAAAGGAGGAGTCAGGGGACTGAGGAGGTGAGGACACAATGCTGGTGGGAGAAGAAGGGCCAGATATACTGTCCACACTGATTTCCAACTGTTTAATTGACTCTTCTAGACTGTCGATAGAGTCAAACGTACCCCTGCAGAGCTCATCTACCCGGCTCTGTGACTTTGAGTGTCTGGTATCGATGGAAGGGGAGACCTTGACGCCTCTGTCACAGGTTTTGCCTTCACCCAGGTTGAATTGTTTGGTACTGTTGGTGTCAAACCTCTTGGATTCTTTTGTTGGCTTCTTGGTCTCCTTCACTGGCCTGCTGTACGATGCATTCTCCTCCTCTTCCTCATAGACAACAACCTTGAGAGTCTTCTTTCCTGTTTTGACCGTCCCTGTACGAATGGCCTGGCTAATTGCAGCCAGTTTGTTTTTGGGGAATTTGAATTTGAATTTCCTTTTGGTCTCTGGCTGTCTAAGCGAGTCTGGTTTACCCTGGTCTTGGTTTTCGGGAATTGAGACATTATCTGCTGAAGGTCTTTGATTGTGCATATGTAGAGAATTCTGACCATTCCCCGTGATGCCTTTAAGGTCGAAGTCTGTATTTATTTCAGTAATGCTAATTCTTCCCACGTTCTGTTTCTCTTCGTACTGCTTTGTCTCCTCTTCCTCCACGATATTTGCTGGAGAGAGAATCCTGTCAAGATCTTCCTCGCTTTCCAAGATGGTCGACAGGCGCTTGTAGGCTGACTGAATGTCCATAGGCTCATTCAAGAAAACAATAATAGGTTTCATATCAGAGTCATCACTGTCCTGGAAACCTTGGTTGTCATGTGCCCGATAAGTGGGTTCACCAGTACTGTCGACCCCAGCTACAGTCTGAGTGTCCGAGTCACTCGTTTCAGCGAGGTCTTCCCCTCTAGACTGTGTCCTGACTCTTGGACTCATGGTCTTGGAGATTCTACCAATTGGAGGTGGTGGAGGAGGAGGTCCTTCATCTTCAAAAAGAACGGGGCTCAGGCTACCTCCTTCTTCTGTGTATTGTGATTGGTCCCTGGATACCTGCGCTGCCGCCTCCTGGTTCTGCTGCTTGCTGCTGTGGCTGTAAGTCAAGACGAGTGAAGGTTTCACGGGGCAAGAAGCTACACACTGATCTGAGCTCAGGGACTCTATCCCTCTGTCCTCTGGGGTGTTTTCTTTTTGTAAAGTTAATACTACCATCAAATTTGACTTCTTCTCAGCTGGTACCTCGTTAACAACTTTTTCATTTGTCCGGTCAGGACTTGCGATGTCGGTAGCTTCTTTTTGTAGAGTAACAATTGTTGTAAACTTGACTTTCTTTTCTGCTGAGGTTGGGGAGCACACCTGTCCAACGACCTCCTTGTTAATCTGATCAGGACTTTTCAAAGAAAGATCATTTTCTTTTTGAACGGTTGGAGCTGTATGTACCTCCATCTTCTCTGCTTTCCTTTGGCTTGTTGTTGGAATCTCCTCACTCTTCTGTACAGTCTGAGCGTCTTGTAAAGCTGCAGATGGGGGTACCTCCACCTTCTCTACTGTTGCACAGTTTAAGGAAGGCACCTGTTTAACCACATCATCCTCTGCGTCCTTCTTATCAGAATTTACATTGCCTCTCCTCACTTCAATGTGTTCCTCCAGTCCGGCTGCTGTTATGAGTTTATTAGGGCAGCCATCTGTAATTCCTGTCTGAGAAGCTGACTGGTGGTCTGATGTTGCTAACTCAGAAGGCTTCAGATTGGACACCTGTGACGTTGGAGATGTCCTCACTTCTCCTTTCCATTGCTTATTTCCACCTGGCAAATAATTCTTATTTGACAGTTCTGTAGTCACCTATAATTAGAAAAGGCAAGATTAAACACATCATAATTTGGAAATTAAGAATATTGAATCCTAAATTTAGTCTTATATCCCAGTATTACTAAAAAGACATGTCCAATACCTACAAGATACTCTTAAATGTACAAACTTTAATAAATGTACAAATCAAAATAAAGACTTTGCATCACAGTTTTATATAAAGGATAACTTGAATTATTGGACAATCTCAAAGAGGCACATGCACACCCTTCAAATGCTGTAAAAGACAAATACCCACACATCGCTAGCTTTTCCCTGATATGTTTTGTTCAGATGAAACAGCCCCGCATCAAAACAAAAGCAGGGGGTTGTGTTGTTGCAGGTTCCAACGAGACAATGAAATACAATCCGACAAGTCCAGTGGGAGTTACACATCAGTCTGAGGGCTTAACAGATGCCAGTTCACAATACTCAAAGTCAGCATTTTACAACTCTGGAAAGTTATCACAGAGGCAACTGCTCATTTCTAGTATTCACGACTGTGAGGTAAACAGTACAAACACGTACAGAAGTGATCTACCGAGGTAATCCTGTGCATGTATGTGATTGGTCACTGCAGCGTTTTGCCTGGATGACGTTGCGCTGGGTTGCAGCAAAGGTTGAGCCTTTCTCGTGTGTATACACACACTGTTTACAATGCCAGGTAGTTGCTTACAATGCCAACTACCTGGCATGTTCTCGCCTTTCTATCGGTACACGTCGGGTCTATCTATGCCGGAGCAGCTTGAGTCTCTGACACGTGAAATGCACATGTTAAATGTATATAAAGGCCTTTTATCTATTGGTAATTTATGCATTTAATTTGTTTCTGATGTCACACATACACATCAAAACTATTTTTTCAGTGAGGTGTGGCAGGAGGAGGTCTGGTCCACCTCCACTTTTTTTCACGGTCACTCTGTTTTAATGCTGCTGAACTCAGTCGTTATAATTCACATATTTTTCTATTTCTGTATGAAATTTGATGACTGCTCATAAATATGTTGACCAGCAGTCGTTACCAAGCTGCTGAGCTTCAAATTAAAATCATTATGTTTTGATCCTGACTGTCAGACAATGAAAGCAGCTGTGCCTGTGTGTGCATGTACGCATTGTTGTATCCTACCTATTACCTATGTAGGGGAGGCTTATGTATGTACTGTATTGTATTGTATTGTTTGTGTGCGTGTGTGTGCTCAGGCCTACTGTGATCGATCCCAGTTGAAAGAAAATGAAAGACTTGAGAAGACAAAGTAGGGTGGGGAGCAGACGTTTATTAATTAATTCATAAAAGGCAGTTATAGAGTGTGAACGGTCCATGTGACCAAAGATCCCACAGCGACAATATAAGAGACACTGGCAGGCGGAAAGATGCTTAGGACAGTGATGGAAGAGATAATCTGACAACTATGCTTTCCAAAAAAGAGAGGCGTGGAGGTTACAGAAAGGTAGCACCAGTTCACCTTCGTCACTTCTCCATGTTATGTCAGCAGAATAGGAAGTTAATCAGAAAGGTTTGCTTGTTCATGTGTTGGTGTGTCAAGGTGGATCTTATTATAAGTGTACACACCAGCTGTAAATGTGACCCTTAGTATATTTTGTTCCAGGATATTTATTATTTGTATTATTTATTACTCATTTGTATTATTTTTGCTTGGTGTTTGTGTAGCCTGCCTTCTTCACAGGTTACATGGTGGAGGAGCTTGCGTGGCTCAGACTCCAGAGAGGATCCCTCCTCTGTTGCTCTTCCTGAGCTTTATTTCATTTCCTTTTCTGAATCGAGGGTCAAAGGACAGAAGGCGAGATTGTGATAACGGGCAATATAAATAAAACTGACTTGACTTGACCAACTGTTAAAAGTCTGGCTCCTGCATTTGTTTTATTAGCTGTTATATCTGTTGGTATGATGTGTACAGGTGCATATCCAACTTATCACAAACATAGGGCAGGGTATTGTCCTGTCAGAGAGGATGGGACAGTGTGTGTGTATGGGTGGTTGTAATAGGGGCCTCTCTGTGAGTTCATTTTGGCCCTGTGTGCACAGTTTTCCTGCACAATGAGGCTTAGTTTATTTCCCACCTCTCTAAATGTTTGTTAACCCGTTGGACTTATTTTTTCTTCTATATCACTGTGTCTCCAGATCTCAGCGTTGGTGAATGCAGTGTTATTATAAGTGATATAAAAGATAGACAGAGAGAGACAGAGGAACAAAAAAGGCAATTAGTTACAACGGCCTCATTGATGTTAATCCAGAAATGTTAGAGTTAGAAGCAGGAACAAATTCACTGCAACCACAAATCAGGTGAGCAAACCCATTTTAGTCCGGTGAGAATCTAAGTGTAAGTGTAAGCACACTGTTGGGTGATTTATTATCGGCTCTAGTGGACAATTTCAACCTCAACTCATTCTGTAAAAGTCATACTTTGATGGTTAACCTTGAACCTTGAATGTGAGAGATGAAAAAAACAACAACAATGAGTTGTAAATGTATCTATCTTAAGAAACAACAGGTTTAGTTTGATTATAGATCGTTAGCATTAGAACACAAACTCAGATGTTTAACTTATTGTGGATTAAAACAATCTTTTTCTGGCAGAACACTGTCCTGTACACAGATGTGCTTTTGCCAGAACACAGTGATGTGACTTTACAGAATTTACAGTAAGTCCTATTAAAAGCCAGCCGACTTTTTTAATATGCACTTACAACTTCGGGGAGCAAAGTTGGTTTGAGTTAAAAGGTCTGTTGTTAATAATTAGTGCTGTTAGACAGTTTTTCCTTTTCTTTTTACCTTAGACTCCATCTCACTGCTCTGGAGCTCAGAGGCTGATCGTTCAACCACGCCTCTGCTCCCTTCATCCCTCAAAGTGCATTTGTGAAACACCTGGGTGAAAGTGGCAGATGGTCTTAAGGTTACATGGATGGGGTCAGAGGTACAAGGATGCAATGGATGCTAAACGCCTTTAATTAATGCTGTGATGTGTAGAATTGATGAAATCTGATGGGTAAATATATATATATAGATAGATATCCAAAAGTTTGGCTCTCAGAGTTGAACACAGTCCCAGATCTGGTGTACTGTCCCTGGTTGAGTACTTGATCTGCTTAAGTTTTAAGAAACAGCAATTGTGTTCACATACCTGCAGCTCTTTCATGAATTTGTTGTCCTCCTCCTCTTCTTCCACCCCGCCCCTGTGTGCTGAGGCTGTGGAGTGGGTGGAGGTGGAACCAGCCAGATGTGCAGGAGAACACATCTGGGGTTTGGGTTTGACCTCTGGTGGCTGTCTCGGGGGTTTGGGCTGAGGAACCAGCGGCTGCTCTTTCTCCTTCTCACCCTCGTCCTTGAACAGATTCACGAAGCAGAAACACAGGATAGAGTAAATGAAACAGATATATTGTACATATTTCTATAGTTTTTTTTCTATTCTCTATTAATATTTGATAATTAATTGTTTAAAATGATCCTTAAGATTTCAGTCGTGGTTGATTTAGACTTTCTAAATAGAGTTAGCAGGTTGAAGTCTTTTCGTTGGTAAATGAGCTTCAAGTCTTCAAAATTGTATCCGTGGTTCCATTCTTTGTGTGTATGTAATGGAGATAAACATACAGCAGTTTTCCCAGAATGTCACCACAGACTACCAGTTTGTAATACCGCAAACATACAAATACTGTAATACTTTGATCAGTGGGCCATAGGCTAGATAGTGCTGGGTATTGTTTAAAATATCACGATGCTAGTACCACACACACACCTGGGATCCAAGCGGCTCTTTCCTGGTGGTGAAAACCACCTCTCCTGACCTTCCTGTGGTTAGACCTGAATTGACAGCATGGAACCTGGAAAGGCAATAAACAATAATGATGTATAAGAGGTGGTATCTAGTTTTTACCCTTTAGAAAGCCCGGTCTGCAGGTGAGCCTCAGGGCTGAACTGACCTTCGTGGAGGAGGAGGAGGAGGAGGAGGAGACTTGCTGGCCCTGTCTGGACTCTGCTTCATCTCCTTATCCACACTGGTGCGGCGGGGTTTCTCCACCCGTGGCCGGCTAATGCGTTCTGTGCTGGGAGAAGTTGAGGGAGGAGCAGCTGATGGAGAAGCTGAGGGAGGAGCAGCTGATTGGGGAGCTGAGGGAGGAGGATCGACAGGGGCTGCAGGAAGCTGTGAGGCTGCTGCTGGAGCAAAACACATCCAAACATCAGAGTGCTGAAGTTTAGTAACTTAGATTTGTAGTGGAATAATTATGTGTGCAATCAATGGTCATATGAAGACTAAACCAAGTCAAGATATTTGGTCATTTCGGTATTTTGTTCAATCATATAGATATTGGATCAGGACTCTCTAAACTTGTTGTTGACTTTCTAACTGCATATGGCTGTGTTTTACTTTCTTTGTTCAAACTGGTACCATACCTGTATCTGAGGGTTGTAAGTGGGTGGAATCCACCTCATCACTCAGCCGGGGAGTTGTGTCTTCCTGGGAATCAGACAGACGTGCCCGTTGCTCCACTGAGGCTGTAGCACACACACAGACACACAGACCTTTGTGTTTAGGTTATATCTAAAAGATACTTGTATAACACCCGTCCCATGTAGCTATATAGTATTATGGGAATGTGCTATGTGTAATAATACTATGGGCGGGGCCATTGGGTACAGTTTTAAACGTAATGGTTTTGACAAGACCCTACTGCATGTGGCTTCCTTATGAACTGTAATGCACTGCAGCTGTAATGAAATGATGACATGTTGAGAGTGTATGGAGAAAAAGAGCAAACATACAGTAAGCTACTTTTAGATCTAAACTCACAGCATTCTGGTGATTTAGGAGCATTGGGCCTCATGTATTCAACATGTTCAGTGAAGTACAAAATCATTTCACGAGTGGTCCAGACCTGTTGTACAAGTTTGAGCTCTTTTAGTGTTGAGATATTTTGGCATTAAAACTCGTAAGGGTTAGTAATTGGATGGAAAATCAGACTACGAACACTTGTACAAGCAAACCTCACAGATACGATTTTGGATAAAAATAAGAACATGTTGTTACATAAGGCCTAATGTGTTTTCAGTGAATGAGATACTACAGGTCAACCTTGCAGGGTCAGGTCCAGAGTCGTGTCCCGCTCTGACTTTGATGCAGTGGACTGTTGTCTCGAGGCAGAATCAGAGCAACCCTCTGTGGTGTCTAACACATTCAGAACAGTGATGGTCTTCATCAGGCTGGCCTGGGATTCCTGGAGGACCTGGTCGAAGTCTGTGTTGGTGTTGGGGGATGGAAGCTGACTGGAGACAAAGCTGGCTGGCTGGTTGGCCTGGCTGGTGCTGGTCTGGTTCATACTGCTGGTTTCTACACCCAGACTGCCCTCTGGAGTGTGTCTCTCTGTAGTCTGAGGAGGACACACACACAGTCACACAGGTTGATGATAGCTGTGGTTTCTTTAAAACTGTGAAGGGGACTGAAGCTGTAGGAGATCAGTATCACTCCTACAATGATTTGCAGGTGAGAAAAACATCTCGTTCAACTGATACTGAAATAATAATGGACAACTCAAACATCTTGACCTACAAATTCTTCACCTCACAGTGAGTGCTAGCACACAGCTCCTTATTTAAAAGTCCCCTTCAGGAATGGAACATGTTCCAACCATTGAAGGTGTCACATTGGAGTGACACTGACCTGTTTCACTGTGGTGTGGTCAGCGTGGCTCTCCTGTGTTAGGGACGTCAGAGGGCCCCGTCTCCTCGGCAGAGCAGGGCTGCCCTCTCTGCTGCGAGGGCTCACCTTCACAACACAACAACATGTCTCACATTCTACACTACAGACGGCTTCCTAACCAGAACACCTGTTTATGTACAAAGGCTCACATTCTGTCATTTTTGTAATCATTCAGCAAATGGACTAATCAGTCAGTGCAGTACCTTGGCCACGGTGGGCGAGTCTCGTCCATGGGTGGCTGTCAGTGGGGGGCTGGGTTGGCTGACCTCAGCCTGACTCCTGGAGAGAGAGGGCGCGGGCAGAGGAGGTCTGACCAAGGATCGAGGCTGGGGTTTGGGGGAGCTTTGGGGGCTCTGGGTCTTCAGGGGCCTCTGATCTGTTTCCAGGACCTTCAGAGGCTCCACCTGGGCTGATCTGGCAGGGACGATTGACTCCGACACACACCTGTCAATAACAGGGAGGACAAAAATGCATCAGGATTATTTTCCTGCTAAACGTAGTTGTTTTACCCCTGAGTGAAGTTAATGAGCACCTGCGGAGACAGCTGAGGGCTTCAGTCAGTGCTTTGACCCTCTTCAGCATGGAGTCCATCTTATGAGGCTCCTCCTTCAGGAAACGCACCACCTCCACTTCCAGCCTCAGCACTGAGCGCATCTTCACCTGCAGCTCTGGATACTCACCTGGAAGACAAACAGACAGAGCAGACTCTGTGTAATTCTACATGTCACCATACACAACAATTTGACAAGGAATCCTGAACAGCACAAGCTCTTTAGGAAATAAATAGATACAAATGATGTTCCAGGTTCCTGTAAATCTTTTTCTGATTGTAATAAATCAGAAAATAAAATAAATTCATCTAAAAATAGCTACAACAACCACAGGCATCAAGCCATACGCTCAAGCTGTCTGAATCTGATTTCCCCTGATTCAAGTTTTTCTTTTCTTTTTTAAATTCATTAATCATCATCTTATTTATATTTTTGGACATAATTCAGGTATAAACAGACCAATTAGTTCATTTAAAGCTGGTGAGAGGCTGCTGCTAGCCTGACATCACCAGGTCAATCTACAGCATGCAGAGGTGAGCTGCTATTTTACGAGTTTGTATGTTAAAACTTTTGCCAAATACTGTAGGAAGTACAGCAAACACATTTTCCTCTCAAGAAAAGATTTAAGAGCATCTGATTGTTCTTCATTTAGCAGAAAGATAACGTCCAGTTCGTACAATACTAGCAAAACATAAAAATAGGCATCCTCTTATAGATCCTAATCAGCCAACAGAGACACACTGTGTGATTCAGTGTCGTCTTGAAACAACTCAAACCAACCTTTAAGGATGGCCAGAGCTTCTCCGACCCTCCGCAGGTTGACTGCTCCCTCCTCCACCTCTCTCAGAGTGATTGACAGCTGGTCGGGACTGGAGGCGGAGCTACGCTGCAAACGGTCCACGTAGCCCTCCAATCCACTGAGGTGAAAAAGACAGGCAAACATGTTGCATTAACAGTCAGGTAGAAAAATCAGCAATGTGATAACCTACAGTAGACACAAGATGGCAGCAGAGACTTCAATAGTTCTGTTGGTGGTCCTCAAATGAAGATATTGATATTATGTGATGATGTGATATATTATATTTTAAGAGTCAGATGCGTCTTGTATCCTCTAGACAGTGAACACTTTTCATGTTCATAACATTTCAACCTGCATTTCATTATTTCTTAAAAATCTTTTTGAGGTTTGCTTGAGGTTGAAACAGTGCACAGATACCTTTTTAGACTGGTTAAATATTCCATGCGATTGATTAGCTTTATTTTAGTGGTAATATTCATGTAACCTCCAGATGTTGGCGAACTGAGCAGGGATGCTTGTGATGCTGCACTGCATTCTGGTCAGTGTACTGCAACACTGATCTGGTTTAGAGTTAGCATACATACTTGTTCCTCCTGAACTTATCCAGATAATGAAACCTCCACATGTGTCTGCAGGTGTATATAATTCAATAAGAAAAGATAGAGAAGTAAGTCAATTAAAGAAGATGTGTGTGGTACTTGTGCTTTAACTGAGTATTTCAATTTGATGCTACTTTATCCTTCAACATTGTACTTTTTACTTCGCTCAATTGTTTCAGAGCTTTAGTGGTTGGAGTAGAACTACCTGTGACGGTTCCCTATCTAGGTTACTTGTTTATGATCCTTTAAGCCAGCAGGTACCAGAGGTGGTGATCGCCCTATAAAGCGCTGCCTTCCTGGCAACCAGCGGTGCTCTCCTATCACCCCGTGGAGGAACGAGAACGGCTCGTTATGTCTAATAAACTCTTTACTTTTGGCCAACTGTCTGCGTCTCCCTTACCAGTGTCAGGGCTTCAGAGCCAGCTCGTGACAAGAGGCGTAACAGTTAGTCCCACATCGATTAGCTGCAACATGAAGACGCTTGTTGACATGTTCATGCTTTAGTTATAATGCTCCAATAATATAAACAGTAATGGGCGTGTGTTTTGATTTTGTTTCAGTTTCTTCAAGTACAACTTCTGTTGCCAATACTTCTGTTTTACTGTAAAAAAAAAAGTAGAACGCAGGACTTTTACTGTTTTGGTATTTTTTTGTCGGTACTTTGTTAGTTCATCTGAATACTTGTGGGCTGTGGATTTTACATCACTGTAAGAGTAATGTATACGCTGTACTGTACCAATGCATTATTAATTAGTAGATAGAATACAATTCTCCTGCACTTATACTCCCAGAAAACGTGTTCTTGTACTTTAATCGACCTTCATATTACTACACTGCTATTTTAAGGCAGCAAACAGACACAGGAGATGGGGTCCAATTATGGGGGAAGATTATTATTATCATTAATAATGATGTTCACTTTCTTTCCTAAAACCTATTAAAACGTAATAAAGAGATGTATTAAAAGCTTTCATCCTGCCTCAAAATCTAGCATGACTGATGGGCGGTCTCAAGGAACCTAGACACAGTGCATTGTGGGGCAATTGAGTATTTGCAGTAAGCTCACGTCTCATACTCTACTTGCTAATGTAGTTTACATCCAGGTATTTTTGCAGACACAAAAATCAACATTCCATGCAGTGTGAACACACTACAAACTCCATTTTACACCATGCTTAGTGAGTTAGGATGTTAATATGCGATTTCCAACACAACAATTTCCAACACTAACAGCTAAAAGAAGAACACACACGGTTGAGAGCATCACCACCACTCAGCTGCTGCTCTGCAGCCAGAGACACAGTTATGCAGCGCCTTATTAATGGGCATCAACCTCACATTTACATGTGCATTGTCAAAAAGATAGGCTCAAGCCTAAATTATTTCTTCAAGACGCAGTTCTGCCCGTGAGTCGGCGCTAAGACGCTCACCTGCACAGAGCCGGTGGACATCTGCATAGATCACCATGAGAGTGTTTCTGTTGTGTGAGAGATGTACGAGTGGAAAACATGTTTGATCCACTTGGTGTCTAGAAGGAGGTTAGCCGGTTGTTGGTTGTGTTCATTCAGTCAAACATTACAGCAGTGGTTGCTGCAGACACACCTGGAGGAGATCTGTACTCTACTGAGTGCACCTTTCTAGCTTCTCGTCATGTCTTCAGCTTTCACGAAGAAGATTTTTACTGTAACAGTAGGCCATGCAAGCTTTTTTTGCCCCATCTGCCCCAAATGACCCAAAGAGATACATGCATGTGCCCATTTGGATTACCACCTGTGTTGGGAAACGTGAAACATTATGTCAAATCAATATTGTGTCATTTTTAGGTTTTGCATCTGGGCAAAATAAATGTTGCTGCGCATTTTTTCCAGCTAAAAACGCCACTGGATATGAACCTTTTTGAGATTGTCGTACATAAAGAAGGAACAGACACGCAGCCTTCTCTGCAGGATAATGTGAGGAAGCACATACACTGAGCTAGTTAAGTCAACTTCACTTTCATGGTTGGATGTGGGCACTCTACTCAGTTTCTGCTCATACTAGAGCCTCTCACAGTATCACAACACTGCTACTGGTTTGAAAATATGTCATCATTTCAACCTCATAATGAACTGATTGAAAAGTGTTCAAAAGTGAATGTGACGGAAAGTCTCCAGGAGCGTTCAGGATACCTCTTACAGAGTTCAAACGTCTGTTAAATCATTTATCCATGTGGTCAGTAGATGGAGGTCTGAAGGATATGAATATACTTATATTACCACAGTGAGTGCTAGCATACAGCTCCTTATTCAAAAGTTTCCTTAAGGAATGGAACATGCTGCAACCATTGAAGATGTCACATTAGAGCTTTCATAATTTAAACTACGGGAATATGATCGTAAAATGACATAAATAAAAGTAATGTTAACAACTACACTACATGTTAAGCTTTGTAGATGCATAATGAAATGAAAGAAACATCAAGTTAAGACATTTTACTCACTGCACAAGCACCACGGTTAGAATTTATAGTTAGCGTAAAGCTACGCTAGCAGCGCCAAAAAAACGAGATCATACAGTTAGCAACAGTAATCATATTTACCCGTATTAATTGAAAATAACACATGAAAGGAAATGCCGTCCTCACCATAATAACACTAGTTTAGGGGCAACGAAATGTCAGATCCTGTTTCGGGTTATCAGGTATTTTTCTGAGTCTATCGTCATAAACGTATGATTTCATAACCTTGCAAATTAGTTTCAGTTTTTGTCTACAATGGCCCTGACACGCCGGCGAAGGAACTCCTACTCATGTTGCTTGATAAATGCCAGGCTTCTGTTTGGACTGAGTCGTCTGCTGTGCAGTCAGTGTGTATCCAACACGAGAATGAGTTGTGATGTCTCTGGAAACCCATGTCCTACCCAATCAAATCACTTCCCATCCCCCGGCTCTATTTTTAACAATATGTTTCATCACATTCTCTCTCTGCCTAAAGATGTTGCCGTGCTGTGTCTCGTATGTCACCAATAATGTTCAGCTGCAGTGACATCAGAAGGGACATGATGTCAGAGCGAGTGTGTAAATGGTGAAAAGGCTAATTCACCACTTCAGATATCATCGGCACAAATAGAAAGTGTACATTTTGTGAGGTAGACAGGGGTTAGATTGGGATCTTTCGTGTGGGGGGGGGGGGGGGGGGGGG